TTACAATTAATTGTGATAGAAGTGACATGAATTGAAAAATATTTGGTCACACAAAGATAAATTATAGTGGCAAAGCAGAACATTTAGACTCAATAAATCGTATCTTAAGATGAGTCGGATACATTGACGACTAGAAGTACCGGGTGCTGAACACGGGTGGATGGTATCTCGTCACTTGACAGACACCATTCTGCACAGCTTAAAGATAAGGTCAAATATTAGCAAACGGTTTTGCCGGTATCTGGTTTCGGAAGCTTAAATAATCCGGAGGACAAAGCGACTCGACATTCAAACAAATACTGGGGAACATTCACAGTTCCGTTCAGTAATAAATTCTCAGAACGGACAGTGAGATGTAGGGTAAAAATAGGGGTTCTAACTAACTAACTGATATTCTTTGTCCATAAATATGGATGGATTAAAAATTGAACTGTTCGTGATAGGAATGAAACAAAACGTAAGAGGTGGTAGCAACACTCATTAAACTAGTTGTGTCCGACTAGAGAAACAGATTGATACCAGACCAGGTACGTGAACTAGCATACAATTCTAATTTGTACATTTAGATCTACGTGACCGTACTTTTAAAGATTGAGGGAGGAATAAAATTTATATCTACATTGTATTGATGAATCACTTTTGTGATCCTCGTTATTCATTTAATGTTTTTAGTCAATATTTTGTTGGCATCGTACTACTACATTATCAAATCACTTTTCATCGACCAATAGAAGCCCGTTATTTAATAATAGGTATACAATCAGGAAAAAGAAGCTAGGGCCTGTAAATTGACGAAATTCGACATTGGATATATGTGATGTTTAAATAAATCAATGACTTCTTCGTATTGATGACTGTTGTAATTTTGAATTCCAATTACAATACATTCGTTCAGGCTCATCTAATACTTCTTGATTACATTGAGTTATTCCTGGGATTACTAGTTTATACTACAATTCAAATACTTCTGATCATCATATTGGCGTCGCGATTGAGCCTGTGATGGAACGGTTGGATATAAATTCAGATTTTAATGCTTTTGAGGAGTACATGGAGAGGTTCAAAATCTGGGCTATGACCAAGGAAGATGATGAAGATTTTAATATTGTGGCCCATTTCCTTACATTCATCGGAAAAGAAGCATACAGCCTTATAAAGACTTTGGCACTTCCAGACAAACCGATTTCAGTCCCCTATGAAACTCTCAAGCAACTACTGTTGGATCATGTAAAGTATACAAATTCTGAATGCGGTAAGAGAGAAAAATCCGAAAAAAATGACTCGATAGAACATCAGGAATTCCACTACTTTATTAAGTCGTCGCAGTTCGCTGCGTTATAAAAGTTATCCAGACAATACTTCATTGAGCTTTGAAACAGTCCATGGAGATGAGCACGAGATTAGTAAATGCTTGTTCTGTGGCAAGTTTTACCCATGTAATTCATGTATATTTCGTAATTCTAAATGCTTTAAATGTGCTATAACTGGACATATTCAGTCAGTTTGTAATACCATGGTTCATTTCGCTGAAACTAATGCTAAGATGGATGCTTCTAATGATCAGTTTTCTTTATCTAGAAGTGGTATAACGTCACATAACAGTTCAGAGTTGAATGAAACCCAGAATCATTGTGCGACAGAGAATTTAGTCAACAAACTTATCGGATTTCTCATGTCATTGTACCAGATATGGTTTGTCGTAATAATTCACATACTTCTGATGGAATTTCTTACAACTCTGAGAATAGAATCCTGAATGAGTCAAATCATGATCAAAAACCAGATTCAGTTTTGGTAGATGCTGATTTTTCGAATGATCTATTATTCTCTAATGAAACTCTTAATCAATTTGGGGAAAATATTTCAGAAGAATCGAATTCTGATATCGTATCAAGTGTCAGTGGTCCTCACAATTAATTTATCTCTGATGATATTCCTAATGAATGTGAAAAATATGTTCCGAATGAGTCGAATTGTAGTCATATTTTTGATGTTATTGTATCAGATATTGGATACTTTCACGAACAATGTATGTTGAATAGAATCCCTAGTCAGGGGTATAATGAATCAGAGGGGATAGCAAAATTTACCGAAATAATCAGAGAACCAGCTTGCCCAGAAGTGAAGTTTGCACAGACAGAGAATCCAAATCAAGTCCAAGATTATCCTAATGAATATGAGGCAGATGAATGTTTTCTATTCGATTGTTTCGCAGGTAAATCAAGCCTAGTTGAATCACATGTGTTAATTACATATATCAATGCTTATCCATCTGTGTATTCTAATATGAATAACAAAAAGAATATGTATCATGATTTTTATTCAAGTCAAAGTCACATGATGAAATACTTCGAATTATATATCAGTGTTTATCCCCAAATACTCATATACAGTAGTCGATGCGTGAGATTTGAGAAGATACTGCAAATTGAGAATGTCATATTGGCTAAAACATTGCGACGTAAGGACCCAACATTATTTCGTGGGGGAGGATATTGTTGGAAAGTATATGATGCAAATTCTAAATATCAATGGTTTCACTACACAACCGACATGCTGATTGTATACAATTCCAGAACCCAGGTGAGTCTGTTGCAATTTCCGTTGTTAATTCTAGTACTGATGAGTGCATTCTAGATAATACAGAGTGTACATCCAATACACTGTCGGACAGATGTAAGATGAACTTAAGAAGAAGACGAACAATCGATTACAGACACTTACACTCCAATTCGAGCTGTGGCGGATGTGATGTTTAGATAAATCAATGACTTCTTCGTATTGATGACTGTTGTAATTTTGAATTCCAAATACAATACATTCGTTCAGGCTCATCTAATACTTCTTGATTACATTGAGTTATTCCTGGGATTACTAGTTTATACTACAATTCAAATACTTCTGATCATCATAATATACTGTTACGAGAATCGTATTGGACACAATATTTAAGCTGTCGGGTGTAATGTCAGGAAATAGTGTACCATAATCTTAGGATAATTTTTGACAAATTTCGCCGGCAAAACACTTACTAATTTTGTCTTAATCCATCACTGCACTTTGGTAGCTGCCATAATGAGTGATTATATTCTTGATTATCACTGGTTGATTAATTAAACTAACTATCCTTAATCTATGAAAATCAAAGATTCCATTCGTCACAACCGCATAGCGTTATTGAAAAACTTAACCACTCATCGTAATGAATTGATAAGCAACTTGTCATGTGATCATGAAGTTACGTATAATTGTTTGACGATCTTCAGCGGATATGTCTTCACTTTTGAGTACGTTTTAACCATGTGCACGTGGATGGAAATTATTTAGATATTTTGTATTTGTACTTTTTTTACAAATCTCTGCTGATTCTAGAGGTGATTGAGCTGCTGTACATAACTAGAAAATTGCTCTCAGATAAACAGGCAGTAGTAGATGATCAAAACTCTGCTTTTGAGTAAATTGAGAGCGTTATCATGAACCCAGTCATTGATTTGAATGAGACCATAAAGGTGGACCCCATCAGGGAAGCAGATAACAGGCATATGGATGTAGGCATGGTCACAAGGAACAAGAAAAAGCTCACGGAGAAGAAACTGATTATAGACAGTACTACGGTATGTGAATCTACGGTTTCATTTCTGGATTTACATATCAACGCAAAACAAACTTTGGGGGAGTCAAGTGTTAGAGGTGTAGAGGCTTTAATGAAGTGTCAAAATAAGGTAAATGAGTGGCTCACAGTCACACCCAGGAAAAGAAAAGTAAGGAAACAGAATGGACGGACCTCGCTGATAGGCGAGTCATTTTTCATAAGTTAAGAGAAACTACCGAAAAGGAACCAAAGACTAGATTTGGTCACGATCTCAATAACTTTAAGTCCTTGATAAGCAAGCTGCTCCCAGAAACAATATCAGCGGTTAGCATCTGTAAGCTTTATAGAATAGGACAAAAGATGGATTCTGAAAGTACTCAGAAAAGCTGTCTCTTGAAGGTTACCTTTGCTACGGCTGAAGAAAGAAACCTGATACTGAGGCTGATAGACTTAACTGTAGTAGAAGCGGGGTTCTAAAGTACACGAAAAGTATCTTAACCATACGAACTGTTGAGACAGTGGCACATGATTCAGGGACATGTGAACTGGTGCGTTGCAGGCTGAAATGCAGACGGTGAAATATTGAATTAGTTATTATTATTATTCACAAACCCCTTATGGGTACATAAGTGCTGTGAAGAAACCATTTTGGGTTTCTTCAAAAATGCAATAATACACAATTTTCAATAATGTTAGCATTACATTTGTCATGTTTGAGAAAGGAAGGAAAAATAAAATATTAATAATAGAATAGTAATAATAAATCAGGTTCTGCGTAATTGGCAAGAATTTTGAATTGGTTTTGAAGGAGGAAAGGAAGAAACTAAGGAAATAGAAATAAAGGAGTCGCGGAATATCTTAACGCAGAACAAGAATAAACAACTAAGTATGTATCGCAAAATGAGTAATAAAAATAAAATGAAACAAAATAAATTAATAAGTAAATAACTTATTATTGCGGTAAGATATGACATTAGAATAAGTGTTTGTGCGAGCACAGTCATAGTTTTGGGTGATGCTATGAAAGTTTCAATTAAGTGCAAAAGATAATCAATGTGTATGAGGTGTATATACATAGTGAAGATAAAACGAGTCTGATAAGTTGAATTCAGCGTAACACAAGCTATTGTCTTAATCCAAAGCTTCGTAATCTTAAGAATAATATTTATTTGTTGTATCATATCGCAATCCAGAATTTGTAGTAGATGACCTCCTCCTAAGCAAACTTCAGTACTGGTGTAATAGTGGTAAAAGCCTTATAGTAGGCGACTCAAACCCACCATATATAAACTGGGTTAACTAAGAAATAGGGTCATCGATAACGTCATTTGATTGCAAACTGTTAGAAACCTCAATTGCACTAGCTTCACTCAGACATATTAAAGATCCCACTAGAAATGACCTATGAAGCTACTTGTGGAGATATGGCCGACAAGCCTATTTTGTAAATAGTTTTTAATATTATTTGTATTTGTTTTGTCAATTTTTCACTGTATGTACATTCATCATTAAATGACTGTACATGTTGTTTTAGTCAATGACCTTGAAGACACTTTCCGTTGTGATTCCAACATAGCGTGACATATTCTTTCTGGCTACCAAATACATTAATACTCACACATCCCTCGTTCTGTTTTCATTCGAGATTGAGTTAACTTAGTTCTAAAACAAATATTATTTGCATTCATAGACTGAGAAAGTGAATACATCACATCTTACTGTGGATTACAATACTGGGGAGATCATCGATACGTTTGGAATTACTAAGCATCTATAATTGTGGATTTATTGTACCAGATCAAAGTCGAATACGCATCATTTCGGGTGAACTTAAGTAAAGTCCCATTATTTATTGTATTTGTAACATTTAACTTATATATATTAATATTACTATTGGTTTTTATTAACTTTGTTGATATCTTTTGCTTTTATAAATTGTCTGGTCCACCACATACTCGTCCCTCTTGGAATCAGTCTTCGTACACGGTGACGACGTCGGTCAAATGAGCTTCATTCCATCTGTAGGGAGAAGCGATCATGCAGTCATCTTATTCAAATTTGTGGTCTTTCAAACAGTTGCATCGTCCCGTCCTAACATATGGAAGGCGGACATGGAGGCAAACAACACTGCAACACTAGTGAAAAGCTGATAATTTGGCTCACAGGCATCAGTAAAAGAGGCATGGATACATTTCAGGCAGATATACAATCGGGTAACTCAACTATATGTACTCTGGACAGTCCCAAAGAAGAAGAAACACGGCCATCCCTGTAAAGGCCGGGATATTCGACGTTTACTAAGACAAAATAAAAAGTGTTGTAATGTTGCCATCAGCCGTGGCACGGCAAGCACAATGGAACGCTACAGATCGGTAAGAACCAAGTGTATAATTAAAATCCGATGATTTCAAAGGAAATAGGAAATGCAGTTCGCACAATCTACCCTCAAGCAACCTAAGAATCTATTCTCGTACATAAATTACAAAACAAGAATGCACCATTGGATTTTCAAACTAATTTAGGAAAGGAGTGGATTTGAATCAATAGAGGACGATTAAGAAAAAGTAGAGGCTATGGAAAGCTATTTTGGGGCAGTTTTCACCCAGGAACCTCATCCAGACGAAGACCTAAACCAAGTGCAAAGTCAACAAACCGTCTACTCACCGTGGACTTTGATAGAGATGATGTACTTAGAGCTCTTTTCATCTTAGACATCGAAAAGTCAACAACACCCGAAAATCCTGAGACAAATTGCACACTATATCGCAGCCCCATTGACTGTGATATTCAATATGTCACTTGACCAAGGTGTGTTGCCACTGTCTGGAGGGATGCAATCGTCTCTCCCATACATAAAACAGGATCGAGACAACCTCCATCGAACTACAGACCTGCCAGCTTCACCAGTGTCGTAGTCAAAATACTGGAAAGAATAGTCCGAAAAACCATAATGACATCTGTGGAAACAAACAACTTGGTAAACAGCGAACGACATGGTTTCAGAAAAGGTTTATCGTGCACAACAAACATCCTTATAACAAGGAAGCTTTAGGCAGAGGATCTAGACGGCAGAAAATCAGTGCATGTGGTCTACATGAACTTCAGTAAAGCATTTTACAAGGTGCAAACCAATAGACAAACAGCCTCAGCAGCAGTAGGTCTCAGTATAAACAAAGGGAAAAGTAAGACTCTCCGATACAATACAACATGCACCAATCAAATTACACTTGACGGAGAAGCTTTGGAGGATGTGAAAACCTTTACATATCTGGGCAGCATCATTGATGAACACGGTGGATCAAATGCAGATGTAAAGGCGCGGATCGACAAAGCAAGAGCAACATATCTACAACTGAAAAACATCTGGAACTCAAAACAATTGTCAACCAACACCAAGGTTAGAATTTTCAATACAAATGTCAAGACAGTTCTACTGTATAAAGCGGAAACCTGGAGAACTACGAAAGCCATTATCCAGAAGATACAAGTGTTTATTAACAGTTGTTTAGGTAAGATACCTTGGATCCGATGGCCAGACTCTATCGGCAACGAGTTACTGTGGGAGACAACAAACCAGATTCCAGAGGAAGAATAAATCAGGAAATCACACGACTGCGTCACAAGGCAAGCCCTCACATGGAATCCTGAAAGCCAAAGGGGAAGAGGAAGACCAGAGAACGCGTTACGCCGAGAAATGGAGACAGACATGGGAAGAATGAACAACCATTGGATAGAACTAGAAAGTAAGGCTCAGAACGAAGTGGGTTGTAGAATGCTGGTCGGCGGTCTATGCTCCATTGGGAGTAACAGGCGTAAGTAAGTAAGTAAACGAATAGACCGCTCTTGAAGCTAGAAAGTCTTAGAATTGCCAATTCACTCCTAAAATGGCTTAAGGATTTCCTGGTAGGTCGTAGACAGAAAGTAGGAGTAAATACGAAGACCAGTACTAAGTAGAGTACCTCAAAGTTCTTTCTTTGGTCGTTTACTTTTATCACTGTATATAAATGATCTCCCAAGTATAGTAGATTCCTCAATGTTATTATACGCTGACGATGTAAACATTTGGAGAGAAATGACGGGAGACGCAGATGCATGTGCACTTCAGGCAGAATTAAATATTGTGATTAACTGTTCTAAAGAGTGGCTGATGCCTATCAACGCGGCAAAGTGTGTCTTGATGCACTTTGGGGTAAAGAAGTACAGCACAAGGGAAGTGCCTGTACCCGTGGTTTGGTCTTACAAGGATCTTGAGGTGACAGTGAGTCATGATCTTAAGACCACGACCCCATCGTCGGTTTAGAACCTTCTGTGCTTTAAGACGGTCATTCATCAAGTTAGATACTACCATGTTCATTACAGTATACACAACCGTCGTGAGAACGAATCTTGAGAACTGCGTTCAGGCTACAAGCCCATGTTTAAAAGGTGACTCGGATATCTTGGAAAAAGTACAAAGGGGGCAGCTACCCGTGGGATTTCAGAGCTCAGTGGTCTACCATACAAAGCTAGACCTCTTAACTCTATCCTAGCGCAGATTATGAGGTGTTCTGATTTTGATGCATAGAATACTGAGAAGTGATTTTGGGCCTAATATATCCTCTCTTTATGTTCCCACTAGATCGGCGCATTTCAGGGGACATAACAGGAGAGTAGAAAAGCCAAGAACGAATAAAATACCCGTGGCATACAAGTTTTTGCACAGAGCCATCAATTCTTGGAACCTGTTACTCGAAGCAGTAGTGTCCACATCTTCAATTGACTTTTTCAAGAGAAGACTGGACACTCATAGAAGCATACTAGAAAAGGAATAACATAGGCCATGGGCCTTCTGTTCTTACTACATAAATCTGAATCTGAAATCAGTTGGCAATTCATTAGGAAGGAATTATCAGTTCTCACAAATACCACAAATGAATAAAGAAGTGAATGTCTTAAGTCGAACGTCTCTGTTGGTACGAAAACTTTAATATATAACTCAACTGAATTTTGTTAAAATTCATCAACAAACGTGGTTATTAGCATCTATCTTTTCATCTCATTTTAAAAATGACTCTTATTATCTATAATGATCTAAATGACGATTATTAAAAAATTATCACGAATTGTATGTCCGTTTATTGAATTGTTGTTATTTATAGTCTCATATTACACATGGAGTTAGTGTTTATTATAGTACGAGAAATATCTGAAACCCGTCGACAAAACGGTGAAGAAAATCTCCGATTAGTTGGTTTTCGAATAGTCAGGTCTTGGAAGCGAATGCTACTAAGGCCTGTGTGGATAGGTCGTTCTCCCTAGGAGTTTTATATGCCAACGCCCGTAGTCTAAGACATAAATTCTACGAGCTAGGATCATTAGTGGACAAATTAAGGTCACTCATTGTAGCTGTGAAGGAAACTTGGTTAGTCCATGACTTCGATATCACCCCAGAATTATCCGGATATCATTGTTTAAGAAGTGATAGACATGGATGCAGGAAAGGAGGTGTCGTCCTTCTATACATAGCCAATAGTATAAATATCCGCTCCTCTGTTTGCGAATCCCATGATAGTGTAACTAGTGAAGTCATTAGCTGTGAGCTCACTGCCGGATGTTGTACATTTGCACTCGGTGTCATCTATCGCAGCCCAGTCTGCTTAGCTGATGACTTTATTTTAGAGCACATTCGGCTATGGACTGCAAATAACAGATGCTTGATATTAGGAGACTTTAATGCACCTGACATTAGTTGGACTGAGATGACCACGAAATGCTCTATAAACTCATTTGATAGCAGGCTCTTGGAAACAGTAATGGAACATGCATTAGTACAGCTAGTATCCAAACCTACACGTTTTGGTGTAAACCAAGTTTCTTCTCTGTTGAACTTGGTAATTACCCATGAGACTGAGGATATTGCCAACCTAAATATTCTTCCCCCGTTATTAAATAGCGATCACGCTGTTTTATTGTTCATGTTTAGAGCTAGCGATATGATATACGATCAGATTAAGCCTCGCCCAAACATATGGAGAGCTAACATACCAGCCATTCAGGATTGTGCTACTAAGATAGATTGGTCAGTAGATACTAGCTCATCAGTTGATGAGGCGTGGTCTGTATTTAAGGGCAAGTTTAGTGCAGTCACGTCCCCGTTCATACCATACTTGGTACCACGTAGACCGAACAATAGTCCACCGTGGATAAATAAAGAAGTTAAGAAACTTCTTAGGCGTAGGAAAAAACACTGGAACATGTTCATCTCTACTGGCTTAGAACAGTACAGATCCAGTTATTGTAAGATTAGAAATACTTGTAAGGCTTTAATTAGTAGGACTAGACGGTCATACGAAAAACAATTGGTTAGAGATTGCAAACATAGTCCAAAACGGTTATTTTCGTATACAAAGAGGCGAACTCAAAGAAGTGATGGAATACCATCACTTTTAATACAAGAAAATCCGTTAAGTTTGACAAGAAATGATACCGAAAAAACGGAAGCTTTTTCGGAATATTTCAGTAGTTTTTTCTACCAATAATGAGGAACGATCATCTATTCATTGTGATTGTGGCGGCTTGTTGATGGACCCTGTAGTTATTAAGAAAGAAACTGTTTTAAGGCTACTTTAGCATCTCAAACCTGATAAGTCTAGTGGTCCTGATGATATTCATCCTCGGATTATGAAAGCCCTCTCAGATGTTATTGCTAAACCCTTAGCGATGCTGTTCGATATGTCCCTACGGCAGTCCAGATTGCCCAGAGACTGGAAAGACGCAATAATCAGTCCGGTGTATAAGGCTGGGAGTAGGAATTTAGTTAGTAACTATCGATCCGTCAGCTTAACTAGTGCAGTT